ATATATATATAAATATTTATGCGTTTTGTTTTAGTTATACTCTTTGCACGTAACTTTTCCTTGAATATTTGCATAAGTGAAGTGATAACTTTTTGGTATCAGGTTATCTACGGAGATACAGATTCAGTTATGGTGCAATTTGGTGTTCCCTCTGTAGAAGTGGCAATGAACTTGGGCAGAGAAGCTGCTGACTATATTAGCGGAACTTTCATCAAAGTAATAGTTAATTACGTAACTTAGTATAGATTTTTGTCAGTTTTTCTGATTATGTTTGCTTACTATTCAGTCTTGCTATATACTAGATCCTTAGATTTTCGTCAGTTTAGATTATAGGTAATTGTGTAGAACATCTTAAATTCATCTATGCTTATCCTATACCTGCTGATAGACTGAGCTTTAGTGAAGCACCCTGAAAATGATTCTAAAAAATATTAAAAAAAAAGGCCTGTCATCATTTGGCTCAAATTGAAAAACATGCTGTATGCAACTTGTAAAATATGTTGGATTCTGCTGACACTTTTATGTTTCGTGTTAGTATGTTTTGCTACTAGATCAGTGTGGTTTGAAAACGTATATGCTTAACTTTGTATTCAACAGACTAATGTGCTGCTAGATTTTCTTATGCTCTTCACATTATTTTTATAACTAATTTTTTCTTCTAAATTTTTCACCTTCTTCGTTTTCTTCATCATTTGTTATTGTGTCATGAAGCCCATCAAATTAGAGTTTGAGAAGGTTTATTATCCATATCTTCTGATTAGCAAGAAGAGGTATGCCGGTTTGCTTTGGACAAACCCGGACAAGTCTGACAAAATGGACACAAAAGGTAGATATAAATGTTTCTTTTACTCATTTTGCTTCTCGATGGACTATGTCTGTTGGACTTACTGGTAATTGTGTTGTCATTGACAGGTATTGAAACTGTTCGAAGAGACAATTGCTTATTGGTAAAAAACCTGGTAAACGAGTGCCTACATAAAATACTAATCGACAGAGACATTCCTGGAGCAGTCCAGTATGTCAAGAATACCATTTCAGATCTTCTAATGAACCGTATGGATCTATCACTCTTGGTCATCACTAAGGTAAGAAAAAGATTTCTATTCCATACTCAATTGTGCTGTTATTTGTCTCTGCATTCCCCCTTTTAAGTTTGAGAGTAATGCAATTATAGGTAATGTTTCTGTTCCGGTATGTATTCAATATGCTTGTCATGGCTCATACCCAAGGCTTGGCATGTTTACTCGAGTGCTTACACATTTATGTAAACAGGGCCTGACAAAGACTGGAGATGATTATGAAGTAAAGGCAGCTCATGTTGAACTTGCTGAACGCATGCGGAAGGTTGCTAAATTCTCGTCTTTTCTAATATTTTTCTTTTGCATCGCTTCCACTTTTAGTGATGCTTCAATAAGAATTAATAAACTAGTGAACTATTGAAAAGAAACAGAAATATGATTGAGGTCCTTGCTGTAAAGAGAATTTATCGAAAGTTTTAACATTTGGTACTTCAGAAAAATTGAAAAAAAGAAGAAAACAAAAAACCACTGCATTCATGGAATATTAAAGCAAAAAATAATAAAATAAATCATATGAAATTGTGTTAATTGACAGAGAGATGCTGCCACTGCTCCAAATGTTGGGGATCGTGTACCATATGTTATTGTTAAAGCAGCTAAAGGTGCCAAGGTAATCATTCTTTTGCTTTGTTTTGTTTTTTCTCTTGCCTTAAATTATGAATTCATTATGTTCTTGCTGTTTTGAATAATAATTCAATAATTAGGCTTATGAGAGGTCAGAGGATCCCATCTATGTCCTGGAGAATAACATACCAATAGACCCTCAATACTATCTCGAAAATCAAATTAGCAAGGTCAGTTAAGTTGATTTCCTGTCTTTACTATCTCATAGTTGATTTCCTGTATATTTATTGTTTACGTTTGCAGTTTACAATGTTTTTTGATATACTCACCTCCCAAACTTGATCTTCATGTTGCAGCCACTTTTAAGAATCTTTGAACCGATTTTAAAAAATGCGAGCAAGGAGCTTCTTCATGGAAGTCACACTAGATCGATCTCCATCTCTACACCCTCAAACAGTGGCATAATGAAATTTGCTAAGAAACAACTTAGTTGCATAGGCTGCAAAGCTTTACTCAGGTATTATTTGATTATTTCTTTGGCTACCTTTTTCCCAATTTTATTTGTAGGTTAATATCTTGTAGATTTCTGTTCATAATGAGTGCTGCCATTGGCATCACTGAAGATGGACGGATCTATCATTCTTCTCGTTGTATGTGGATTATGCTTTGTTTTATTGTTTCCCCGGAAGATTGTTTTAAAAACCTAATACCATGTTAATGTTATGTTTCTGCACCAGTAATAAAGACCGAATTCTCTGCTCGCATTGTAAGGGAAGAGAGGCTGAACTTTACTGCAAATCTGTGGCTAATGGTAGGTTTCTCTTGTAAGCATATAAAATCTTGTATCCTTTAACTTTACTGTTTGTAACTAAAATGACTGGATCGATTGATGCTTGTAGTATCTGAGCTAGAGATGCTTTTTGGGAGGCTCTGGACACAGTGCCAAGAATGCCAAGGCTCTCTTCATCAGGATGTGCTCTGCACAAGGTATTTTAATTTAATCCATTCTAAGGTTTTCTGCATTGTGCCACTTTTTGCTTAACAAGTGTTCTTCAAGAACCAGAAATTTGTGTTTTCAAATTCTTTCACCTGCACGGTTACATTTAGCTACCTGGTTGAACTACTCTGCTGCTTACCCCGCTTTCGATGTAATATCTTTGTTCTCAGCCGGGATTGTCCAATATTTTATCGACGAAAGAAAGCACAGAAAGACATGGCTGAAGCCAAGCAACAATTAGATCGGTGGAACTTTTGAGAATTTTCCAAGGTGGGTGATTCCTATCCTCTCACCAATCTCTCAAACTGAATCCACAGGATAGCCTTTCATGACTGACTGGTACATTTTGCTGAGCAGGTTGGTCTCCTAAGTGTGAGACCATTTAAGAAAATAAGCACCCGTTTGATTCGCTGGTTTGAACTTTTTGATTATTTGAACAGAAAAATTTAAACTATGGTTTAAATTGTAGTTTGAATTGACGTTTGGATATGCAGTTAAAGTTTTAATTTGAGCAGGGAATAAAATTTGAATTTGTGTTTGGTGAGTGTGAAAAGCAAGAGAGTGAGCACTTTTTTACTGTTCAAAAATAGTTTGAATGGTTGAACTTGAGGGGAGGAGCTAAATTCTAAGTTTGACTGTTTAACTTAGTTTAAACATGGAATATAATTCAAACTACATATTTACTAAACACTAGTTTAAACTGTGCTCACTGTTCAAACTGAGTTGAATTGAACTAAACCAGTGAAACAAACAATGGCTAAGTCTACTTAGCTTATTTGCCTTATTGTTTACATCCAGCGAATAATGCTTGGCGAAAAATGTTCGAAATTGTTGACACAGACATCTATGTTTTACAGGTTTTCATGGTTCAGAATATGACTGATTGGCAGGAGTCTTGTCATGATAGATTTTGTGTTATTGACCTCTAAATGTCAGTGGCATTATGTAAGTTATCCTTGTATTCATAGCACTAAAGTTTTTATTTTAAATGTAATCACATTCTGATTTGCCGAGGTCGATATAAGAGGTGAGCAATTAATTGGAAAGATCAGCAGAATATACGTATTTCCTATGGGAGGAAACAGAGCGATCTAATTATGATTTTTAGCAGCTGGTCATGTCCTGCTAGCACAAGTGAAAACACTCTTTTAACAGAAAAATAATGTACTCACTAGTATATTCTCACTAAAAATACAAATTTCTCATGATAAATTAATACAAAAA